AATATATAATATATATAGAGATAATAAGATAATAATATAGTTAGTAATATAATAAGAATATAATAATAATCGACAAATAACATAAGCGTAAATTGATGGTACCATCAATTAAGAGAAAATTATATGTTATACAATTCGTTAAAGTAATCGTGAATGATATTATTCGGACCACCAGGCTGATCCGATGCATGACGTGTTTTTACGAACGTTCTGTAAAACGGAATATGACGCTTTTAAGGAGATTTATGTCCGCGAATGTTGCGTCAAGATTTTATACCAGCAGCATTGTAATATCTGTGACAGATGTTATAGTTTGCTTGCGAATATACGAGCTGTGCAGTCTACTTTATGTTAAACGTTATTTTTCGCTGCGTACATTTACTCTGCGACAAGGAAACATTTATATCGAACGATTACAAATTGCAGCTACGTTTTTATTGAAACAATTGTTTAAAATTCATGTTGTTTCAACATTGCACGTTAAAATATGTTTTACGTGATACATTCACCTGTTTATATGGTGTTATAAATATTGTAAATGTAGACGCATTTAAGGGATGAATTATTATGTCTCACAGATATATGTCTTCGACTAACAATGAGTGGAGAATTATTACGACTATCGTCTGTGTAGGGTCAAATAACAACTTACCTTGTTTCCTGCTACCGCGTTCCTCGGCAATGACGACGCGATTACAGAGAGTAGTGGTCACGATTTCGCGAAATTTCATTGGCTGGAACCTCGCCAACTATCTCCGGCCTCGTTGACCATAACACTGAAGCTGGAAATATAATGGTGGTGGCGATCTGGTGGTAGAAACATGAACTAAAAATAATCGTAAAAATAAAATAAATTACGTCCAACACGTTACACTTGGCTAAACGAAAACCTAGAGAAGAAACAGATTTTACTATGAAATAAAAATATATATGATTTACAGCAAAATCGTATGTGCAATTCGTTTGAAAGTAAACGCGTGTAATTCACGCCACACAGACATAAAGGAAATTGAAGAGCTAATTAAAAGTATGTTTAAAAAGATCTTAAGTTCTCTATAGACAATGTTAGAAAATCTAAGACACTAAACGAAGCCTCGGGTACACGTCTGCAGGATCAACGAATAATTTGAAGATGATTGTGTTACACATACACCACCGATCAAAAGTTTAGAACAACTCGAAGATACCCAAAAATCTATTCAAATGACAGTGATTAATAAGCTTTAAAGATTGACAAAAAACTATTTATAGTTATTATGTCGTTTCATCTTTTCACGAACAAATGAAGTTTGCGCATTTTTCTTTAAATTGTCATTTGCTTCAATTTCCATAAAACGACTCACAAACTCAGAAATTTGAACACTTTGACTGCCGCGTCACTTATATTTGGATGGCGAAATTTTTCGCTCAAATTTGGAAACTAATTTCTACTCTAAGCTCTTGCATCTTCCTAATCTCATCAGGATCTGCAAAATGAGTCACACCATGTGACAGAGCATAACTTTTCAATTCAAAGATTAAGTAAAATACTGTAATTTTATAAAATTCCGCAGGTCCTCGGCGCGACGATCGAAGTACCGTAAAGATCTGCAGTTCGATAATCGAGATTGTTTATTCGACAGTTCGTAGAGCGATTCTAAATGAGAGGCCGGTCGTGTAGGTGCAAGAATCACCGAAAGAATTTCGAAACACGTATCGCTTTAGCGTCTTTATTGACATGCGTACTTTACAATTTGCACTTCGGACGATTCCCAAAGGAATCCCGAGTCTCGTTGAACCTAACGGTCTTAAACCTACGTCGACTCACTGGAAAACGAACTTTTACATCGTGGATAGAGTTACTTTCGAAACATGTCCCATTCTGCCGACACTCGGCGATCACGGAAAGAGCAGGGGCTCGTCTGTCACGATCCGTGAATCCCCGAGTGACACTTGCCGCCGTAGTTACACGGCAACGAACTTGTAATTGAAACGTTAAATCGTTTAGCACGTGGCCGATCGGCCGCGATAAGCTCTTTTATTTTCTTCACGGCCGCTGGACAAGCGGCGGACCGAGCTTTTGTCTCTAAATGCTAGATTAGTAACCACACTTCTCGAACCTATTTAGTTTTAATTAAATTATTCTCGCTCGGTGCTCTCTCTCCCTCTCTCTCTTTCTTTCTTTCTTTCTTTCTTTCTTTCTTTCTTTCTCCATCTCTCTCAAATTCCCCGCTCTCTTTCGTCTCACAAGCGTTATGTACAGGATCTGTCCTCTTTACAGCGTAAGCGTAAGTTCCACAGCGTTTATGACTATAAAATCGTTCACGTTTGCGCAAGAAGAACTTGGACTCCCGGCCCCGATTTCGGCGAACAGCAAAAGGTCCCTCCGGAAATCGGGCGGCTCCGCGCTCGGATTAATCGCAGTGTCACGGTCGCTAATTAGGAATATTAAACGTACGTCACCAGAAATGTTTCGCGAAACGGCGGATAGGTTTGTCGAGTGACAATCACGCGTTCCGTACTGCCGAGAACCGTCCTGTTCGCACACGAACCACGAGGATACTCTCTTGTTTGGACGAATTTCGCTGCCGAAGGATTCGCAACCTGAAACAAGAAGAGAGTTTTGGTTTTAGCAACGAGCACGTCGATTTTGGAACACGGTGTCACATCGCCCGGCGACGAACAGAGGTTTTTCTTCTTTTTAGAAAGCTTAGGTGCGCCCCAAAATGATAAAGCCATCGTAGAAAATAGCAGTTTTAAAAGTTTGATTTTATCGTAACGAGGCACACCGCATTATGGTAAATTTATGAATTATCTGAGTAACAAGTGGTCCGCGGATTTTATACATTTGTGACTAAACTAAGCATTCGAAGAATCTGATAACGCTGTTTCTTCATTTTCAACTTAATAAAATTGTTAAGGGAAGAAACAAATGCCTGTACAGTTGCTGTAGTCCGCAATTGTCGCACATGTTTTTATCTCGCATAAAAATCTAGTAATAAGGGTTCATTATTTTCTTTGATAAATTCATTTGTAATTGGAATTTTCTAACGATCTTCTTTCTAATTGTTTCACATCAAGCTGCATATAAATTACGTTATTAGGAACCAAGTTTCCCGATTACGGAAACTTCTCGATTCTCAAGCAGCTTCGTGTTCAGTTTCCTTACGCGGTCGGTTGATCGTGTTACCGAAGTTAAAAAAGAAAACTCTCCTGAAGAGAGCCATGTTTAATTTACGATTCGGTGTACGGAACGAAGATGAACTTAATATCTGTGAGAACTACAGAAAGAAAGTTTAATTACAGCTTCTTTTGCTGGACAAGTTCGTATCACTACCCTAAAAAAAATTTCATGGTTTTTATTGAAGTTAATTGATGACTTAACGTAACGGCGAACGAAAAAATTGGCGGGGCATTTATTCCCACTGAAATTTCTGGGACGCTCGCAGAAAACAGCTAACGATCCCTGGTGAAAATCGAAAACTCCTCAGAAATCTTTAAGCTACCTTGACATGAATAGAAATTTCGGATTAACCGCTGAATCGTGTTTGCGTATCCGCTAAATTATAATCGACTGCTGTCATGTTTAAAGAGGATATACCAACCCGAGTTCCGACCGAATTATTAATCAATTATTACGGAATTCGGTGAAATTATTCATAGAAGCGTGCAATTGTTCAGGGAGTATTCTAGTGGAAATTACGGTTCTATTTAACTTTCTTCGGGATCCTTTTGCAATGAAAGTACAATAGCTTTTGTGGTCGCTTTTACAAGGTTTATTTATGCACGTTTCAATACCATTTAAAAGTCTTTTGGGTTAAAAAATGTTAAAATTGGCTACTTTAAAACATAATCGAATTTCAAAAAGATCGTCCTGTGATGATCATGATTGCAGCCATTTTGATTGACTGAAATGGAAAAACGTACAAGATACTTAATTAAAATTCGAAGAAAAAAACGTGCGGGTGGAGATAATTTAATTTAGAGCAAACTCTGCGGGACGTGTTATCACAAAATAAAACTAAAATATTTCTGTTGTTATTGAATGGATTTAAATAAATGTGGACACTATTTCAATCGTGTTAATCAACAGGTTAATGATGTATTTTAATATTGTATAATACATTTTAATATTTTATATTATCTAATCATCCATAGTGACAATGGCGCAATTTTAGATAGAGAAAAGACAAGAGAATGCGTGAACGTCGCAATAATTTCATTTTTAACCGTTAGAACAAATGTACATGGTAGTTGGGCATTTAAATATGCAGCGGGCGTCGCCCGTAAAATTCGAGCGTGGGACAGGAAATGTTTGCGGTCGAGACTCGTCATTTCCACTTAATGGCTTAAGTAAAAAGACAAATGAATTTTTTAGTCATAGTGCGAGGGTAGTCGTGTCAGAGGGAAAGTGGGACATGGTGTTACGAACGGTTTGAAAAATGCCAGCGGAACGTCGCGGAAACTGGCCCCATCGTTTCGCAACAAAACAGAAATTAATCCGCCTCGCTTTTGTGCTCTCAAAGGTCTAGAGGGAATAGAAAATAACGATTCCATCATTTATTGCTGTCGCAAAGGCACCGAACACGAAACGCCTGTACCGAATAATCTGTAAGAGTGGCTCTCATGATGTTGAACAAGTCTCTTTTATGATGAGCAGGAGAACCTTGAACAACCGTGATGCACGGGAAGCTGCATTCGTTACACATATTACCAGCCTGACAAAGAGTGCATTCGTTCCTGGCGGAAAACGGTATTTTTGGGGTGCCTGGTTTAACGGCTGCTGTTTCGAGTTGCGTCCTAACTTTTAGCGAAACTTTAGCGGAACATTGCTGAACTATTATTATAATACCTCTTGCAGAAACATTCTCCTACTAGGTTTCTATTGCTCTAATAATTTTAGACACTTGGGATCCATAAGGGCGAATGGATTATGCTGATCGTATTCCTAGTATATTTGAACTCTAACTCTAATTGTTAATCGTGAAGTTACATGGAACGTTTCTTACAAATTGTGAGGATTTCTGACAAATTGATTTCTTACAATTTCATGAGAATTTCTTACAAATTGTAATGAAGAAATTTTCAATTGCCTACTAAATTACCCGAGAAATTATCACGAATTTTTAACACAGAATATACATTTTTATCACGAAACGACCATAAGAGAAAGAACGTTACCACTTCAAGCCGAACAACTTTTCCTCGCGCAATTGTCCGCAGCTGCGGAAACGACGAAACGAAAAAAATTCACCCAAAACGCCCTGTAAATGAATTAGAGCCAGCCACTCCCGTTCTCCCGTTTTTTCCCCGACGTTTTTCTTCCACCCGCAGCAATTTACTTTCCGGTTTCCCACCTCGCCGAATATTTCCCAGCGAAACCATTGTTTGCGCAACAAGTATTCCCAGCAGCACTTCCGGCGTCAACAAATAACATTCACCGCCGATCCCGGTGAACAGAGACAGCTCCCGTCGTCCGGTGGTCAAACAGCCAAAGTCCGTCGAGCATCAATCAAAACAATCCAAATCCAAAGGCAACGGCGGGACCAAATAGAGCCGCCGCACTAGCTCCCACGGGCATTCGAAACAGAAATAGCCGGCGGGCCATTACGAATTATTATTGGTTCCCTTCGACCGGAAATAATTCGAGGGGACCGTGGCCCGTTCTGAAAATAGCGGATCGGTTCGATCCGAAGGAGGGTCGACGTCGGCGGCCGATTGAACAATTTTCAGCGCACCATTTTGCTCGTCGTATCGCTAAAGTAGCACGCAAGTGTCGGGAAAAGTGGGCAGACTCGATGATGGGTACACAGATCGATGACGGGAAGGCGCAAGAAAGATAACCAGCCAAAGATGGAAGAGGCTGAAGACTCGGGAAGAGTGAAAGCAGAGACAGGATGGGCCGGACAAGGCCGGGGCTGAGGCGGGGACGTGTGCGAGCTGCAGCCCTCTTACTTGTCGAGCGAAGTTTTCCGCTGGTTTCACGGCTTGGCCTACTTCGGAGGAGCCTCCTAACCCAGAACCGCGATGTGGACACGTCGCACAGTCTGACGGATCGCCAAACCATCCGGACAAAAATCATTTCGCTGGACCAATTCAAATCATTTTTGGCGCTAGTCGGGAAATAGTAGGCTAATGGAGCCAGTAGTCACCGTGGGCTAGCCAATTACTGTGCCTTTAATTTTCTTTCAAACATCATTCACGTTATAATTATCGGATAAGACAAATTAAATTTTTCTATTCAAATTCATTATTTATTTATCAAAATTAATTATGTAAAAGACGGAATTCCTTAAAATAACGGAAGAATTATTTTAACATTTTGACGTTGCAAGATTCAGTAAAAAATGTAATGATAAGAAGAATTTTGCTGTAAAATATAAATACTTCAAAATAAATATTATTCTGTACCGCATTTTCGGAAGAATCGATTCGATCTATTTCAACGTGCTCTCCTCGAGAATTATAAAATCATGGCACGTGCCTGTTTTCCACCGAACCCTTTAATTTTTCATTGCAAGATAAATTGAACGTTCGAAGTGCAACGTTTGAAATTGTTAACAATTTGACGTGAATCGCGAAAAGAAACGTCCAGGAAGAAGGAAATACCAACTGGTCCGTGAATTGCGTCATTACGGCATTAGTATGGCGTCACTACGGCGTCATAAGGGGATGACGACACCATGGAACGTCTTCTGATCGACGTCGTAAACATTCATTTCGCGTTGGGCACCCTGCAAGGGTGGTTTCCGAGCAACGGCCGACCCAGTAAAATAAGGACTCGGCTTTAAATTAGTCTCTATTGAATGGGAGACAAACGGCTGATGGCAAAGGGTCACGAACATTCATTTCGGGCACACCATGGCCAGCCCCGTTGATACACGACGGTGTTCGAGCAAATATTTCACGGGTAAATGAAGGGTTTGCAATTAACGCGATCAAGTAGTTCCGCCCTTATGCCTAGATACGCGCGCGATGGATGTGTACCCCAGGCAAATTAATATTGTCACATATTGAAACCGTAATTAGTCTCGCACCATGTTTGATGTGTGCAGATTAGGGGTGTATCGGCCGCCCGAGCATGCAGCATCGTATCTAGTGGAAATTGACACGGACTGTTTTCGATTAGCCTTTTTCGATTTACGCGCCCGATGGGTCGTTTATTAATTTCGATGATGCTCGACGATTATCTCGAATAAATTATCTGTCGTGCGTTCGTGACGGAAGCGAATAGCTTAATTGCAACGTTTAAATGCATTTGAGGGATTTATACATACAGTTGTATTCGTTTTAACTAGTTGAAATTATTAAGAAAAAAAATTGATTTGCATGCAGACAGTCTCTATTTCGCATAAAAATCCGCATACTAACGATCACCGATAGAAATTCGTAGAAAAATATGTCCTGGATTCAGAAATATTCTCTGCTCGAATTAAACCTTAAGGAAACATAATTACAGCTAAATCTTTTTAGTTCTCGATAATAGGACAATTTATGCTGAAAATTATAAAACAAAATTACAGCTAAATCTTTTTAGTTCTCGATAATAGGACAATTTATGCTGAAAATTATAAAACAAAATTACAGCTAAATCTTTTTAGTTC